CCCCCTGCCAGCCTACACCCATGGAGGCGCATTTCTATTAGAAACTGGTCCTATTTTTGAGTCATTACAGGATATCCATATATAGTGTAGTGTATAAATATCTAACTGATCATCAACCAACAGTATATATTTCGGAAGCTAACAATGTGGACTATACCATTAAACGTTCAAGGGTAGTCAATAAATATTTCAGATGCAAAGAATGTGGACTATTCCATTTAAAGTTCAGGAGTAGCCACTAAATGCATACAATTTCTAGTGTTGCTTTTCATTGTGTAGTGCATTAACCAAAGAGTTTCTAAATGCTTTAAGCCTTGTCCAGCCTATCAAATTCTATTTGACAAAAATATGTGACATGCCTGAATATTGTCATGACGACATCATATCATGACCATATATAGGCACATCATGACTATATATGGGCACATCATGACCATATATAGGCACATCAGGACTATATATGGGCACATCATGACTATATATGGGCACATCATGACTATATATGGGCATACAACAGTTTTTTGTCAGATAAGATTTAATAATCTGGACAGAGCTTTAGATATTGCTTTTAACTGTTATTTGGGTGCTGATATTATGCCAATCAAATATATAACAAAAGTGATTAGCATGAGCAGGGAATAATAATGATATATTTCCTTTTAGAGAAAATGCTAGGTTGTAAATTTTTGTTCCCATTACTGTATCAAAATACAGTATTTTAATATTCGCTCATATGATATAGTTGTGTATTTGTATATTCCATTGGTAAGCATTGAAAGAAAATTAATATAAAATTCCTGTCGTATATTTTTGTTCTCGTAATCAACAATATACTGTACATTTACTTTTAATTAAAGAAATATTTTTTCTAACCATTTCAATTCTCTGTTACAAAAAATCAGTTTATATTTGTGTAAGCATTATTTTGTTTTAATTATTTTGCATTTTAGGTTTGAAAATCAAATAGAATAGAATTATATCATATCAGATATATGAATATGTATATTTATATATACATTTATATATAATATATGTATATATATACTATATATATGTATGTTTATATATATATATATTATATTCTTATGTACATCTATATATATATATATATATATTGTATTATATATATGCTGTGTATAAATATATATGCATATGTATATATATATATATGTATATATATTTATATATATATATATATTTATAAGTATAAATTTAATTATCATAATAGATATATAAATATATTTATTCTTTATTCAAGTAGAGTTACCTCATGAACTCCGTCTGTAATATTTTTATTTTTTAACATAGACCTTTATTGTAGATAAACTATTTTGTAAATGTTCAGTTATTTTCAAATAAAAGCTATTAATCTTTACGTGACAAAAGAAATCACTGAGGCAGACCTAGCAAGTTGGTTAGATGCATGTGTAATGGAATTGAAAAAAATATCTTTATAATATTCTTTGGGGGTGATGTCATCCTGGAGATTTATATTTGGGTCTGTAATTTACTTCAATTTGGTGAATGTTTAAATAACAAGTTTTACTTTTCATTTCAAAATTATAATGAATATAATGTTTAATTAAATATTGGTTTTTCAACTTGTTATATTATCTTCTTTCTAGTTCTGTTGGATAGAGGTTGGATAGAAGATTATCTTCTGGATAAATATTTTCTGTAAAATTGTCACTGACTTCATAATACCGAAAATAAAGCCTGGTTTCCATAGAAATCGCTACACGCTATCGCTGATTCCTATGGCAACGCTGATTGATGCGTTGAATCAAGGACTACTCCCAATTGCGTCGGGGATAGGTACGCAGTACAATGATTGCAGTCAAAAACAGTAATGCAATCGCTACTGTACTGTGTAGCGATTGTATGGAAAACTAGCTTTGGAAAATTTGAAAAAAATAATAATTGATGTATGATAATTCAAATATTAATGCTGTTTTATATAAATATAGCAAAGTGATTACCAATATTAAAAATATAGAGAATAATCACTAATGATTGAACAACGTGGATTTGTTTATTAGTAGCTAGGTGGTCAATTGAAATCATAATTAAAAAAGTGAATATAATATGGGTTTGAAAAGAATCTTATGGAAGCGATAGAAGTTAGTAGGGCTGAGCATAGACTTTTAGATATTTGTCAGATTCAACAAAGATGTTGATCAGATTTTGTTGAAATATAGCACATTGTCTGACAGACATGTGAAGACACAAGATTTGTTTGATGAGATATGTCTGAAATCAAAATGTCCTATCAGACAGTGGGTTTGCGAGTAGAAGGTAGTAAAGCTCAGAAACGCTGTCACATACTACACTCCGCAGTGTCTGATGGTTAGATACTCGGTGTGTGTAATATATTATGGACCTTTTGATTTGCATGAGGATTCGACTCTAGAACGGATACACTCATCCATGACTTCTGCTTTCCCTACTCAAGGTAGAATCAACCCAATCTGCATCCTAGAAGACGAGAACTTAACGCTGCACAAGCAGATGTCTTTATACGCCATTGCGTTCTAGATCCTACCATCGTTGTGCAAACGAAAGCTCTTATTAACAGACATTGGAAGATTTGTTTTGGTCAGATATGCTTGAAGTGAGCATACACTTCCAAAGTATAATAAGATATTTTGTGTCGAGTCTGATGCCTGTCTATATATACAGGATGGTTAGAACATACTGTTATTTTTCAATGTGTATAAATTAAATATCCTTCACAAACGAATAGTAAATTGTAAACTTTGCTTTAAAAAACATGGTATTTGTACATAGATGCTAACCTCTTCCCAATTTCCAAACACTGTTGTATGTGTCCACTTGTATTGTGGTATATAAATTACATGTAAAAACTATGTGTGTTAAATATTGAACATAGGAAAATATTTGTCTTTTCTAATGGAACTACAGTATATATATAACAATGGTATTAATAATATTATAGATTATGTGATTAAACTGCTGAGGATTTATTGGGTTGTTTTTTTCCATATTTGCAATTACATGACCAGCCTGGGATAGTTGACAATGATGTGTCATCACTTAAAACATATATTTAATTTTTTTTTTTTTTTGAAATTACACAGAATATACTATTACTTTTTCTCTGATTTTCAAACTAAATAAAATGGGCGTAATAATATTCAAATGATTTGTGTCATGTTTGTCAATTTTGTTTTGTCAACAATACACAGCATTTATATATAAAACATATTGAAAATATAATCGCCACAGTAAAATCATGTTGGATACTTTACCAGAGGCGGATCGGGGCACAACATATTCAGAATAGATAAGTAAGAGTGCTAATTTCAATATATGCCTTGAAATTTTAACTTTGTGGCAAAACGGGTTGGGGGAATACCCCTACTGGATCCGCCCCTGTTTACGAGGGAAAGTCCCTTGCATATCATTTTCATTGTGCCAGTGAGTGACGCAAGCTGCGGCATGAGACTGAACTGATGCGAGATTGAATAGGCCCTATATCAGACTTCTCAAGTAGGCCTACTATGGAAATTCCTTAGGCTTACTTGCTATGTAAGTTTTCCCTAATATACGGACGTACGGAAATAGACAAAAACTGCATCTAAATAAATCGTCTTAAGTCGAGAACAAACAATTTTTCCATAAGGATCTGTGGTTACATTGTTCCTAGACAATTCACACTTGGCAGATTACAAATAAATTATTGTGAAAACTAAGAAAAGTGGCCCGTAAATCTTCATCCTTTCCGGTATGTTTGAAATTCCACATCGAATTACAGACAGCCCGTCCCAAAGATGATCATCGGGTCTATTTCTCGGGACGATCGGATTTCAAAGTACAGTAGGCCCGAACGTCCTGAAAAGTGAACCATAAATCCTCAACCTGTTCAGTTTGAAGTTTCTACATCTACTGCAATTTTGAGCAACCCATATCAGGACAAATTATTAGGTGCTACGGATTTTCATTTACGAAAATGAAATGACGTGATATATCTGCATTATAGTGAACCTTTCATAAATAACAATTATACAGGATTATTACATTGTTTTGTCTTCATGTTTCATGATTGTACGTGTAATGTCCTGATAAATGCAACGTAACTAGTCACTCACCACACTTTATAAGAAAATGTATGTTACAATTTTAATAAAACTAACTACGTGTGATATGAAATCTGGTTGTCAATCATGAACGTGTGAAAAAAATGACTAACTACAACTTAATAATTTATTTTATTTGTAAGGTCAAAAAGTTCTCATTTATTGACTGCTGACCTTTTTGAAAACGCCTGGGCTGATTCCTAAATTCGTTTTTTTACAATTTGTAGGCCGCCTAATGCATAATATGTGACGACCCATTTTGATAAAGACTTGATTATAATATAATATTTCATCTACCCCATGGCATACCGATACTCAGTTGTGAGACCATGTGCAATCGTATTCAGAATCTTAAAATTGTATCGGGTATCTATTGTTACAAACATTCATCCAGAGATCGGATGCTTAAGAGAGGAGGAAATCTTCTATTTTAAATAGGCCTAAGTAGAACTGAAAATATCGTGTGAGGATTTTCATCGATCTGATAGAGGCATACCGAGAAATCAAGCCCTCACGAGGGCGAAACCCATTTCACCATTAAATCAGGCATCAACAGGTCTTGATTTAATATATGATTTAATCAATTTCTTTTGAAATACTCGACGCTAATAACATCAACTGACCATTACCGATGTGGCATGGCGATATTCGACATGTATTGATACAATTTTTCTAGAGGTTAACCAAAACCAGCAAATAGAGAAGAAAATGCAAGGAACTAATCCACTGAACCAT